AAAAAAAAAAAAACACACAAAAATGCCCAGATAATGATAAACACTTAAATAAATGAAATAATAGAACCCTTTAGCTTAAGAAACTCTGAACTAACAAAAGAAGCCAAAAACCCAGTGAACTTACGTAAGATCTCTACCTGAAACGTAACCAAAACCACATTTAAGCCAACAAATCTCCTAATAATGAAAAAATTAAATAACTAACCCACCAGAAAAAGATGAGTACTGAACCGAAATTAAGAAGGGGGCTATTAGCCTTTCGGTCTCGATTTCAAAATCCAACAAAAAAAAGAAAAATTCAGAAAGTAGTAAGTAATTCGGGTACTGAGCAGCAGAGTTTGAATCCAAATGAAAGGAAAATACTTCACAACAGTGTTTCGCTTTTTCTTCGTTTCGGTGAAAGCAAAGGTTTCACTTTTCCTCTCTCGCCTGCTCGTCTTTTCCAATTTATCGGCCTTAAAACATTCACTAATTTCTATTATTATAAAATGGAAATGGAAATAGCGGAGATTCTACTATCTCATTACGGAACTATTATTATAAAAGGTTTATTTATTTATCTTATTTTATATTAACATCGATTTTGTCAAAACAAATTTCATAAAATTGATAAAGTCAAAATTTGTATAAAAAGTTTATCTATACTAAAAAAACAGATTCAAAATTTATTATCTAATTCATTATTTTCCTTATCTAAGTCCTTCTTATTGTCTAATTGTATAGAAATATGTTCTGATTTTGTTCAATCCTCTAATTGTATTGTATTATACAGAAATTCTATGGTGCCACATGTAGCACCATATTATGGTGCCACAACATGATGTGGCACATTATGATTGGTGCCACAACTATCACACATCATGTTATGGCACCAATCATGATGTGCCACATCATGTTGTGGCATCATAACACGTGCCACATGTGGCACCATAGAATTTCTGTTATATTATATCCTATAAGATCGATTTAACAAATAAAAAAAAACCTCATAACATCCGATAAGTAAAAAAAAAATACGTAAAATCTTTACTGAAATAAAAATGTTTTATTTATTATCTAAATTATTATCTAATTGTATGGAAATTTGTTCTGATTTTGTTCAAACCGATTTCTATATATTCAGATTCATGTTTTCTAATAAAAATATTAACAGGAATATATATCTATTCTACCCATTATAAATTACAAATCTCAAAATATCGAGCCATAATCTTCTTCACTGTCAACATCCTGCGAACAAAAAATATCTTCAATCAGTCTTTTATTCAAACCAATGAATCAAGGATTTGAGTTAATCAAACAAGTCAATAGGTCCAATAGACCTATGCTCAAAGTTCGAATTGTGAGAATGTTTTTCCAAGTCTGGGGCAGCACATATAAATCATATCTCGAGTAGGTTCTGCATAAAACTATAAGCCAAATTATTTGAATTTTCGTTTTAATTTTGAAATTTGAAACGTATATCTTAATTTTTTTTTATATTCACGTATGTATTTGAATATTTTTGTACATGTTTAGTGAAATATATTTTCGATTTTTTTTATTATATCTTCAGATTTGCAATTTGGCTTATTTATTCTGCATATTGTGTATGTATTTAGATATTTACATTATTTATATTTATTTTCGTGTATTGTAAAACTTTTATTAAATATTGCATCTTATAGTATAATAATCCTCAAATAAATATATCTCGTGTCTCGCACAGGTCACGTACTATATATATCCCGTAATTTTTTTTTTATTCATTTACATAATATTAAGGCTAGATAAATGACCTCAAAAATTTTGCATCTCGTGCATCGCACGAGCTATGTACTAGTAAATAACTAGTACAACACCCGTGTATTACACGGGTGCTTGTTAAAAAATTATTCTTAAATTTTAAATTAATGAGAAAAATTATTTTAAATTTTATTTACTTTTGTGCAAAGAAACATATTATTGTATATTTTAGAATGACATTTGTTACTTGTGCGACTTACATGTGTTATATTATAGTCATTTTTATAACTCATATCATGCATATAACTAATTTAAATATAAATATATTGATTAAATGAATAATTTTATTTTTCTAACTAATATTTAAAAATAATTTTATTATTGTTATAAAAATAAATATAATTTATTTTCTTTATACATACAATATGTATGTTAAAATTGAAGCTCATATGATTTATTGTAATATTATATATGTAAAATTGATAAAAAATACAAAAGTTATTAACTTTTAAAATACATTTACACTTCAATGGTTATAATAACAAAATTATATTAAAATAAAATTAATACGTGTAACATGACCATAAATAATAATATATTTATGAATATCCGGACCTAATTATTTTTGGATTAAAAGTAAATTAAAATCTACCAAAGTCTTAATAACTAAGAATGTAATTTCGCCACGTAGGATCTCAAAGCATGCGAGTCTGTCACTTAAACTCAACATGTTCTGAATCAATATATGCTAGTACAACACCCGTATATTACACGGGTGCTTGCTAATTTTTTTCTTAAAATCTAAAACTAATGAGAAAAAATAGTTGAAAATTTAAATACCTTTCACAAAAATATATATATTATTATATATTTAGTATGACACTTTTTATTTGTGCAACTTACCTTTGTTATATTATAATATTTTTTTACCTTACAACATATAACTACATTGAAAATAAATATATCAATTGATAAATAATTTTATTTTTCTAATGAATTTTAATAAATATTATTATCTTTTATTATTATAAAGATAAATATAATTTATTTATTTCATATATACAATATGGATGTCAAATCGAAGATCATCAAAAGATGATTAATTTGATATATAATATATGTAGAACCGATAAGAAACACAAAAGTTATCAACTGTTAAAATACATTTACAATTCAATAGTTAATTGAAGGAAACAAATCAAAGCCAGTGATATATTAGTCACTTATTGCCTCACTATGTAAAATTACAAATAATTAAATGGTTATATTAGTACAAGTGATATTAAAATACCTAAGTTAGATAAATAATATTTATGGAATGTCCAAACCTAGATTATTAATTATTAATATATCAATAAAGGAATTTATATTCGAAAATAATGTGTATCCAATTCCGAAGATCTCAGTACATTATTATTGGAGTTTTATGATTAACTTAGTCATAAAAATGGATCAACTATAAACTGAAATATAAGTTAGTTTAAGCTCACTATCAATTTAGAACTATAGGGAGTGATTGTTTATGGATTCAACTAGTTTTTATTTGATTTGTTTTTTAACTATAGTTAATTTTGAAAAAAAAAATAGTATGGTTGATTTGATGTAAAGTATGAGAAAAAATGATTAAAGTTGATATTATAATAATATTTAAATAAAATAATTAATTTTTAACTATATATTAAAATAATATTTAAATAAAATAATTAAAGTTGATTTGATGTAAAGTATGAGAAAAATGATTGGAAGTGATGATTAGTTAAAATTATGTGATTGGATGAATAGTGAATTAAAGTTGATATGATGTGTAAGAATAATTGATTAATATTATTTAATTGTATTAATAATATGAGATACAGTGTGTTGAGTTAAAATTAAGTTAAATTTTTGTACCAAAAAAAAAATAGTTGAGTTTAATTTAAGTTTTGATTGATTTTTTTTTACCGTAGAAATGATAAACAATGGCCCCCTAGTTTCTATTATGGATAAATTATCAATTCAGATTTGAGTGATAAAATTTTAACATTTCGAAACTTAAAAGTTTTTAAATTTTCAAGACTTTAAAGAGAGCATTTTCATCATAGATTCTTAAAGATTTTTTTTTTCGTGATTTTAAAAACTTTTTTAAGATCTTGATTATGTATAAAATAATTTGTTCAAACTGAGTTAGTTTGGTTAAACATAGTTAATTTTGAATAATGTGGTATAGTTAATTGTTAGTGAAATTTTAAAAATAAATTAAAATAATATTTAAAATAAAATGATTAAAATTAATTTGATGTAAAGTATAAGATAAATGTGTAACAACAAATTTCGTGAATTGAATTTAAAAAACACGAAAAATATTATTCAAATAAATTTCTCGAATCAAAATAAATATTGCGGGTTACAATCTCTATTTTCTCCTCTGATTCTTCTCACAAACAATTTTTTAAGTCTTGGAGCGAAATCTTCGGCTTGATCTTCTCCTTGACTTGATTTGACTTGAATTAACGTAATCCGAGGGCTTGAAAGCTTTTTCTCGGATCAAACGTCAAAATATCCCAAGAGCGCGAAGAACACGAATCTTGGTCTTCGCCGCAAAGTTGATCTCGAATCTTCTTCACGCCGGTTCTGAATTTACTAACGTTATTCGGAGGCTTCGCAGCTTGTTTCCGGATTGAACGCTAGTCTTGAGGTTGAACGTGCTTGAATTTCGCTTTGAGTCTTCAAGAACGTCTTTAAATTTTCAAGAACACTTGAATCTCGTCGAGAGATCTTGAACTTGAACTTGAATATGAACGCAATTCGGAGGCTTGACAGCTTGTTTCCGGATTAAACGTCGGTTTTGAGCTTGAATGTGCTTGAATCTTCCTTCGAATCTTCAAGAACGGTTTCGAATCTTCAAGAACACTTGAAACTTGTAGAGAGAATTCTCTAGAGCTCTTGAATCTTGAAAATATGAATTATGATGTGTGTTTTTGACATTAGGGAGAGCCCCTATTTATA